CCGATTTGTTTGAAAAGTGTCCGATTTGGTTTGAAAAGTGTCCGATTTGGTTTGAAAAGTGTCCGATTTGGTTTGAAAAGTGTCCGATTTGGTTTGAAAAGTGTCCGATTTAAAGTGAAAATGGTATATATATATGGAATTGGAGAAGTTCTACAAGGAAGATCATACCTTCTTCAAGGTCATCGTCGGTGATTTCAACGCTAAGATCGGACCAAGAAGAACGGCTGAAGAACTTCACATCGGAACTCACGGAACGGAGTGGAATGAGCAGGGTGAAAGGCTGTCTGAGTTTATCATGTCGACCCATACCATCCATGGTAACTCGCAGTTCCAGAAGCCCTACTCTCTACGCTGGACATGGGAGTCTCCTGATTCCATAACGAGATCGACCACATCATCTTCAATCGAAGGTTTTGCCTGACCGATGTCGCTGTTGTTCCTAAGTTCTACACGGGATCCGACCACCGTCTCCTTCGCGCAAGATTCCGCTTTTCGATGCGAGGAGAGAGAGCCGCAAAGTTCAAGAAGCGAAGCCCCAAGACCGTCATCAACTGGGATCACTTCACTTCTCTCGCTGGGCTCTGGGAGGATTCTGTCATCGACAACATCGACGAGGAATACGAACGGCTTGTCGCACATCTTCACGACTGCGCCAAGAAGTCAGAGAGTTCCAAGATTACCAAGAAGCGTCTATCTCTGGAAACTCGCTGATTCGCCAACGTGGAGCCGCACGAGCCGCAGGCAATTACCAGCTGACGTCTGAGCTTGCGAAGCTATGCAGAGAAGCGATAAAGGAAGACCTCAAGGAGAGAAGAGCAGCAATACTGGTGGAAGCATAGTGAAAGCAGCAGAAAAAGGGGATGAGCATCCGCAACGCCCACTTCGCCAACTGTAAGACCAAGATGACCGCCCTCCGACGTCCGGATGGAACAATCACCGCATCCAGAAGGGCAATGGAGAAGGTCATCCACGACTTCTACTCGGATCTCTTTGACAGCCACGTCCACCTGCAACCATACCGCTTGGAGCAGGATGGATATGTCGTTCCTGCAGTTCTCCTTCCGAAGTCCGACGATCAGACCCGAACATCTGAAGAATCTTCCGCCAGTTCTTGTCAAAACTCTGGCTCGACTCTTCACGCGCTACCTGTCGGAATGCAAGGTACCCACCTCGTGGAAAACCAGCAAGACTGTGTTGCTGTACAAGAAGGGAGACCTGTACGACATTGGCAATTATCGCCCAATCTGCCTGCTGTCTGTAGTCTACAAACTCTTCACACGAGTCATCCTGAACAGGATTGGCAGAACACTAGACGAAGGACAGCCATGCGAGCAAGCAGGGTTTCGAAGAGGATTCAGCACGATCGATCACATCCACAGCTCATCGAAGTATCGCGAGAGTACAAGATGCCGCTATGTCTCACGTTCATCGACTTGAAGAAAGCCTTCGACTCCGTTGAGACAGAAGCGGTTATCGAAGCCCTGGGCAACCAGGGTATTCCTACATCAGGATTCTTCGTGAGCTCTACAGCAACTTCACGACCAAGATCTCACCATTCTACAAGGAGATCATCATCGATGTGAAGAGAGGGGTCCGACAGGGCGACACCATCTCGCCCAAGCTCTTCAGCGCCTCTCTCGAGAACGTCATGCGTCAACTGGAATGGGAAGACATGGGAGTGAAGATCGCAACTACACCATCTCCGCTTTGCTGACGACATCGTTTGCAACACCAAACATCGAGCAAGCGTTCGAATGGCGAGGTTTGCGAGGACAGGTCGGATCAAGGTAATCAAGGTATGAACCGTGGCATTTCACAGTTATGGAGTGTTTTTGAGGTTACTGTCACCAATTTTGATTAGACCTCCAATGGTTCTCTCATGTAGTCAATAGTGCGGCGGAGGTAGTTCGATTCCAAATCGGCTCAAATAAAGTCGATTCCAAATCCAAATGATCTCCATTGCCCTTCTTACTCCTTCCTGTTGTGAATCGGTTGATTCCTTCCTCAAATTTCGAGCGCCTCTTACTTTCCCCTTATGTTCCTGTGGATTACGCGTATCTTGAGCTCGGGTGCATGCGTTCGTGTGGCGCGAGGAACGATGTCTCGAGAAAGGGTTATCCGGATAGCTGGCTGGATTCCGGAATTCCCTTAGAAATGTTAATCAAGCCTTTTGTAGAGGTCGTCCAGTAATCTGAAGGCTTTCCGGCATCCAGTTGGCTATCTAACCCTTTCTCGAAATGTTTCCTCGCGCCACACGAATGAGTGTGCAGCTGAGCTTGAGGTGTATATGTGAATCCACAGGACCATTGTGACCCGGTGGAGAGGAGAATAAAAGAGTCGCTCGAACTTTAAAGAAGGAATCCACCGGTCAACAATTAGGGAGGATTTAAGAAGTGCAATAAAGATCATGCTGCAACATGATGTGACATAACTGGTGATGCGTGACATTTGACAAAGCGCAACTGGCGATCTTTTGGTAAGTTTAGGGTGAATTTTTTAGTTGGCAGTTAGTAACGGAGCTCCCTCCTCAAGCTGCGCGAATTACGCGGTCGCCTCCATTTTGGACAAATGGTCGCACATTATCAAGAAGCTAAAAAGGCTACAAAATGTTGGAAAGTGCAGAAAAAATGCTACAAAATGGAAAGTGCGGTGAAACTGCGGATTTTGTTTGAATGGAGTTCTACCATATATAATTCGCTATGTTTGCTGGTGTGTGTTTGTATGTGTGTGTGGGTGTGTGTGTTTGACTGAAAAATCATAATTTCCTAAAATCGGTCGTGGAGAGTTGAAATTGATAGGTGAGGTGGTAAGGTCAGGCAGGAACAATTGTTAGGTGGCAGGAAGTGATAACAGCTGACAAGGGCTTACAAGGGGCCTTAAAAGGGAAGGGTCACCAAATACATAACTCGCGTCACAGTAACGGTGGAATGTTGGTTCTAAGAAGTGAGTTGGTGGGTGGTGGGAGGTGAAAACAGCTGACAAAGGATCTTGAAATGGGAGGGTCACCAATTCATAACTCGCGTCACAGCAACGGTGGAATGTTGGTTCCAAGAAGTGATGTAGGGGGCTGGACGTGAACATCATTGGTGGGTGGCAGGAGGTGATAACAGCTGACAATGCTGTCAAGGGGCCCGAAAAGAGGAGTTCCATCGAATTCGCAACTCGCATCACGGCCTAAAACGTGCGCGCAGAACTGCACGCTTGCAAACTAGTAAAAAAATATGGAAAGGAGGCGCACGTCATTTTTCGCCACCCTGTATGTCGGTAATGGGACAGTGGATTGACTGATCTCCACAGTCCCTGCAATTGTGTTGTGTTCATGTTGTGTTCGAACGATTCGGTTTTTCTTTTTTGGTTGGAGCCGTCGTTGAGGGGTCAGCAGGCAATTAGGTGAGCTCATGCCACAAGCTAACTTTGGCGCGACGTACCCTCATCCTACTCTACATTACTCTTACAAATTTCTTACCCTACTTGGCGCCAACTGAGCAACGCCACCCGTCGATTGGCTAACATGTCCAAAGAACTCGTACAATGAGTCTGTGTGACTATCAAGGATCGATTGACTTAAAGTTTTTGAAAGTTCTTTTTGCTTTTTTCTTCATTGGGGAGTCATTTATCGGCTACTTGGTAACTGAACATCCACTTATATGATACTTGGTCGCAAAAATTGTCGTCATAAAAGACGTCAAAAATTGTCGTCATAAAAGACGTCAATCTAACTGCATGTTGCGACTAACAATTTCGTATTGATTGACAATGTCTTCGGCGATACCATGCTAGAGGATCATGCCGAAGGACGCCGTGCATCTTTTTTCCAATGTGGTCGAGTGCGACCTCTGTCATAATAATGGGACGATCGTTGAGATAACAGATAGATGCGACGTTGGACAATAGCTATTCGAAATAGACAACAACGACTAACTTCGCAGGGGATTAGTAAGGTTTCTGAACAATCGGTATCTTCTACCACTAAACCTTAGTGAAACATCGCTTGTTGTTGTCCTCGTGAATGAATCATGCCGATGGCACGAGCGGTGTGATACGTCATAAAATCGTGCTAGCTTCATACAATAAAGCACGTGTCACCTAGCGGTCGATTGCAATCAGAACATTTCCTGTAACACACAACAAGTAGACCGGGTCAGTCAGAATCGGTCCACTATCGGCTAGAAACAGATAGAACTGTTCATTGCGCATTGATCGTATCCTAGGTGGATCGTTCGATAAGGGGCTGTCGCAGCGGCAGCGAATTTGTTTCTTCTGAGGCCATAGTACCAAAAAAAGCAAAGTTACCTAGGATTGTTGAGCCGTACAACTTAGAGGAAGCTGTTGTTATCCCAAGAAGTTTCTTTTCTGCTCGAGCTGGCGGTAGGATACATAATGGAAGCTAGTTGTATGACGCATTTCACAAGCACACTTCAGCGGCAAACCTCAACGGTTCATTACTCTGTTCAACAGGTCCCTGCTATGTGACCAGAAACGAAACCGGTACCGTTTCGTTGCATCTTATCGTATCACTTGTGGCATATTCTGGTATGTTGATAGGTGTTTACATAAATCGCCCCACTCAAGGTAATTGGCGCCCGTTTTCCAGCCTCGCCGACAACGGAATCGGATCAAACCTGAAAGTTAATTACGTGAAGTGAGGGCTGCGGTTGCATTGTAATCTCTACAGGAAGTTAAGCATTTAACGATGATTTGAGCGGCAACCATTTCCAAAGAGAAACAGAAAACCGTCAAGGGATTGTCTCGACTTTGCACGCATAGGACTGTCAGCTGGTGCTTGCAGTGCACTTCACCCCATGCTAGTGCTATCTGTAAGTGGTGTACATGGTTGTAGCTGGCAAGAAAAATTGTAATCCCTGTTCGAAGACGGTATACCTCTCCTCACAAAAGGCCACTGCGACCCACAATTTTATTACAAGTCCGATGTCTTAATTTAAATGGGGCTTGGAGTGAGTGCTCTTATACGTGAAATATTTTGATTGCATCTACTTTAAATGGTTGCACAAAACTCACCAGAAAACTCATCAGATCAGAAAACCAGTTGTTCCACGCTCCGGAGAGCAAAGTGACATGGCCGTCGATATGTTGAATGCTTTTTCCACTAATCAATATTTCTGTTTTTAGAGATGAAGAAATAGCACATCACGCTGTCGTCTGCCATGCTGAGCAAGCGCGTATTTACCGGAAGTTGAGCAACAGTGATGAGGAAAGAAAGCAATACGCCGTCGCCGCCAATATCCTTGAAAAGGCATTTCAACAGGAAGCAAACAACAGGAGTCGCTGTAGGTGGATTTGCATATAAGTTTTCCATGTTGTTTCCGCTGCTCCCGCGATCACCCTTGTTAGAAGTGATGTTTTCTTAATAAAAGGACTCAGAGATCCCATGACCCACTTATTTTCGATGCCGTGAACTTTCTAGGCACAATGGGCGCCGTGTCTATGAAATACACCCGAGATTTCGGTCAAAGAGGCGAAACAAATTACCAAAATGATCCACTGTTTTTGCAAAGGCGCTAGCAGCATCGCAATGAGTTGTGCAAGGTCGTATAAGTGGAACTCTAGTTACGCTAAATGATCGGGGTAATGAAGCGTATTGTTTATTTGTTTGTTTGTTTGGTTGTTTGTGTTTGTTTGTTTGTCCGGAAATTCGGTTCTACCAGAAGAACAACTTGGAGAGGTGGGTCAAGGTCGGGATGGGTAGGGCATGGGACAGTCAGGTGTGAGTAGCACCCTGACTTATGGCAAACCCCGCCCACAGTGGGCGGGGCGTGCGCCGGAATTCAACGATGTCTGAAAAAATCATAATTCGGCTCCAGAGCAGTCCCGAGATGGGGGAAAGTGGATTAAGGTTGGCAAAGGGTTGACCCATCAAATGGAGGAGACACCCGAAATGGGCGGGGCGTACTAGAAATGGGCGGTGCTTCCGGTGCCACTGAAAAGGGCCATAATTCGCTACAAAGCAGCCCGAGATGGGGAAAAAAGCAGGATAATATAAGCAAAGGGTTGACCCATCAGCTGCAGGAGGCATACCCGAAATGGGTGACTGGTCCCCAGGAGAGTTCGCAGATTGCAGAAGAGTCCATAGCGAAGATAACCATCTGCGACAGTCCATCTTATTTGCCGTGTTCTAAGACCTGCCCACAATGGGGGGGCCTGGCCTCAAACATAAGCTATTAATTTAAGAAAAATCGTATTTTGGTCCTAAAGCACTAAACACGACGCAAAAAAGGGGATTATAGTCCTCAAGTGGTCACCGGTTGAGAAATGCGAAGTACATCCGTTGTGGGCGGAGCGCGCAGTTCCACAGCACTCCAGACACCGGAGAGTTGATTAATGTCAGCGATGGGTCACTGGTTGAGATAAGTGAAGCACATCCGTTGTGGGCGGAGCGTGCGGCGGGGTGGGCTTAACCAAACGAAAAAAATTTCTTGAACGTTCACAGAGCAGTCGAGACACCTGCAAAAGGTGAACAAAGGTGTGCGAGAGGTCGACTTTTGAGGCAAGAAGACACGCCTATTGTGGGCGAAGCCGGTGTCGAGTTGGGAGGGGCAAAAGTCAAAAATTCACGAGTTGCTTGCAGAGCAGCGCATGCACCGGGTATTTGGACTGAAGTTCACAAGGGGTAACTGGATGAAATGGGGCGGACATCCTCAGGATGGCCGGGCCGTGCGCGAAATGGACAGTGCTTGCTAAAAAATTAACCATTCGGACCTGTATGACCTTAGTGATCAAGCAAAAGTCGTTGGAGAAAAGAAACATATGGCGAAAGTTGAGTGTGTCTGTGATGTGTAGAGACCCGCCCACAGAGGGCTGTGCGTGCCCTCAAGCACGAGCTGCCTATTTTTACTGAGCTTCAGTGCATCGGCAGCCATACACTTAACCACCGGTCGTCGTAGGTACATTCCAATGCCAGTCGGCTCGCCGGCTTACGCCAGCGCGCCTCTGTGAACGGCCAGGCCTTACCGGGCAGGCGTGGCTTCGACTCCTCTACCTGCTTCCGTGCGCTCAAATGAACGACCGATACCCGCTTTTCTCTCATCTCTGCACTTCATCAACGCTCCTTACCCCCCCCCCACTCCTTACCACAATTTCATGCACAGTAGTAGAGTTGAAAGGTAAGATGTTATTAGTCAAGGGCGTTGCTCTTTTGTTCAGATGAAAGAAAACCCGTATATTAGTTAGATATACAAACATGTGGAAGAAGGTGAGCGCGCGCCCGCCCGGCGACGCCTGGTCGTATCAGAAGGGGGCGCGACGGCGTCAACCGCCTAGCCGTCTTGTTACTTGGTAAAGTGCTAGTACTTGAAGACAAACGGTACACTCACCTCTGAGAACGATCCCTTTCGTGTACAAGGTGCATCATGGGTTGCAGCCAAGGTACAGCATCGTGATGTGTGAAATGTTGGTGTCAGTACGCCCCCCCCCACTCGAAGGAGGGTCGGTACGACCCCCCCCCTTCTCCCAACACCTACTGTTCCCAGCTTCCTACCAGTTTTTCCAAAATTCGCAACCAGGAACATGCGGCAAATTTATTTATCCCGCCCCCCCCCCCTCCTAACAACGACCAAATACGACCCCCCCCCACGCCCTTCCCCAGCGGCCTAGTACGATCCCCCTTCCACAGCGGCCAAGTACGTTCCCCCCCACCGCATGTTTTTCACACAACGATGCTGTACCCTGCTGCAATAGCGTTTTGGTTAACGTGGGTTTTTCTACTTTTCAGTTGATATACTTCCGTTAGACGTGAGTAGAACGGAGACCTATACGAATTTTGAAAGTGGAAACTTTGGTCGGGGTTTCTCGTAGTGGCCAGAGCTACCTGTCGCAGCCTAAAAAGACGAAAATTTTGAGGAAGAGATTGAAATTTTGCGAAGAGACTTAAAAGTAGGCGTGGCTTGAGAGGTAGAGCTTAGCGTACCAGTGTATAAATGCACGTCTATGAGTACATTCTTTTTGTGAAGATGGGTGTGAAGAGAATGACGTCGAAAAGAATTATGAAAACTTGAATATAGCAACAGCTTTCTCAAAAAAGGTGAAGTCGTATCTGTATCGACATACCAATCCTTTTCAGCTAGTGTGTATGTACGAAATAGCAAAAGTGCCAAAAGTCAAAGCAGAACTCACAAAACGAATTGTGGAAAACCAACCGCTGAAGAGTGGGCGGGTGTTGAGAGCGGGGCTTGCAGCAGTGTGTAGTGTGGTCTAGTTGCTGAAATGCCGTTCTAAGTGTAAGTTTGATCTGATATGAAATGTGTCTGATTTGTTTGAAAGGAGCCCAATTCGGTTTGGAAAGTGTCTGCTGTGGATTGAAAAGAATCCGTTTTGGTACGAAAGTGTCCGATTCCGAAAAAATTCACCCACTATAAAGTGCGTAACAAAAGTATGTGGACGCCTCAAATTTTGATTCTGCGAAACTGCCTTTGGATTTTGCGTTATGAGACCTTTAGCACTTTGTGAACTACTGTACAATTTTTATTGTTTTGAAAAAGTTTCTTAATAACAAAAGTATGTGGACACTTAACAAAAAACAAAAGTATCATGGAAAATTAGAAGTTGGTTTCCTCCAGCGTTCACTATTACTTCGAACATTCTGTCTGGCATGCTGTGGACAAGATTTGTCATGGTGTCTTCGTCGATTTCCTCCCATGCAGCAACTACCGCCTCCTTCAAGTCTCGCACGCTGTTGTACTGCCGACTGTTCATGTAGATTCGTCGAACCATGATCCCCACAGGTTTTCGATTGGGTTGCAGTCAGGAGAACACGCCGGCCAATCCATCACTTTGATACCATTGCGTTGGAGCCATTTTCTAGTAGAATTTGAAACATGCACGGCGGCGTTGTCCTGCTGCAGCACATGTGTCCTGCGTCGTGGCCCACTCAGAAAAGGCAAGAGGTTAGACTCAAGCACTCCTTGGTATTCCTGACTGTTCATACGGCACGATGGGAAGGCAAGCTCCAACTTTCCTCTGCTTCCAAAACCACCCCATACCATCAAAGAGCCGCCTCCGAAATTTCGCCTCGAGAACACCAACGGATCGCGACGAAGGTCTCTCCAGTAGTGCCGATATCCATCTGGACCGTCGAGATGGAACTTTTTTCATCAGTGAAAATAATCTAAGAAAGAAATGCGCACAAGATGTTGCCTTTCTGATTTTACAAATTTCTCAAAAAACTGCACCTTGTCCCACGACGTCGCCATGTTTGCACGCGCAAAGTTCAGTCTCGCCAGCTGGTGTTGGGCAGTCAGGCGAGGAGCTTTCTTCATGGTCTCTCGTGTGATGTGCTCATTTGATCGAATATAGCGCCATATCGTCATTTTTGAGACCGGTAGATTCATTGTAGTATGGATCTGTCTCAATGTTTTTTGCGAACAACCGAGGCCCTGAAATAGGTGCTGAATGGTAGCCATCAGGATTCTGGAGGTATTTACCAACGCACGTCGCCGAACGTCCGAGCTGTCTTGCAATTTCTCTGTTCGAGTGTCCAGCCGCACTCAAGGGACGTCATCAGGGCTTGATGCGCTCAAAAACGGTTCTTTGCATATTGTAGGGGGTCATGCAAGGACCATGAAAAGTGAGCTTCATTTTCGCTGCGCGCTTCCAGGAAAGGCAAAAAAGGAATGAAAATAAATCTACGCAAAGCGCTTCGTTTCAGGCTGTCCCCTGTGCGCTGTAAACTTGCAAGCTTGACCAGTTGCTGTGTGGGGGGTCCTATAAAGGGACTGTTGAAATCGAAGTGAAAAATCGTCGCAAATGAGGGTCCGACTTGGGTCCCGTGCTCAAGGGCGAACGGCTCCTGAAAATGGTTTCTTAACGATCGAAGCGGCGAGCAGCGTCAACGTTCGGATGGCCTAGTGGATGGTTCGAAGAATTCTCAATCTGAGAGTGCGGTGGGGTTAATGGTTCGGCTCCCGTTTGGTTGCGAGTTTTTGCATTTTTCATGTTTCGCTGTACTCGCTTCCATATATCGTCGCCTTCCGGGCAGTTGATTATCCGGCCCAAGGGACGCGGCGCGCAGCGACCGCGGCGATCAGCTGTTTCCAGCCTTATTTAAATTTTCTCCCTAATTTTCACTGTATTCTCTATTTTTTTCAAGGTAATTTCCGTTATTGTTTATATGAGGTATATTAAAACGTAAATTCTTCTTTTTTGTCTGTGTAATGATGTGTTTTTCGCGATTTTTTAGGCATTTGTTTTTGTTTGTTTAATCGTTTAATTGTTCACAAACGTTAGAAAAACTCAATCATAATTTACCTTGTGAAGACAGGGAACAGCTAACATTGAAAAAGCAGCCAAAGACAGTGAAAAATAGGGAGAAAATAGCTCATACCGGCAAACAGTTCCTACGCACGCGGTCGCTGGTCTGCGGCCCTTTAAAGACCGCCCTAATCAACTGCCCGGATGATGAGTGTATGTTTGTGCGTGAGTATAACATGGATATTGGCAAATTATGTGTATATTCTTAATAGTTACACCCTACTAGTCGGTGTTATTCATTTGGATTTTCACATACTATCAAGCAAGATTGTTGCTGAACGTTGATCTTTATAGGCTGATCAGTGATCTGATCACGAATATGGCCCTTACTTCTAGCTGTGGTGCCATTTATCGCCAATTTGAAGCCACATCTTCCTTCCACTAAATTCGTCATGTGCACTCATATAGGGGATGTTCAGTGCTATTGTGGTGCCAGATTGCAGGAATCAGGTACGGTCCAGAATACTTGCTCACTTATCCAGCGACTATCCAGACGTATGTCATGCATGAAAAGAGTTTGTTCACAAAAATTTGACGTTACAGTTGGCCGGAGGTCCGTTGCGTCATCGGTACGCCATCGCTGGTACGAAGATGTGAGACTCCGCTCACACTGCCGACCAAAGTGGTCATCTACGCCCAAAAAAGTCATAAAATGTTTTTAGCTCAAAACTTGTTTCTAGGGGTAATCAGTAGTCCTGATCACGATTCTGACACTTATTTTCGGTTCCAGTGCCATCTGGCACCGGCATAGCGCCGAAGAGCTGAGTCTGTGCATACTAACGAATTCGAACGAAAAAGCAGTTTTGCTCCATAAAAAAAGGATTATTGAATTTTTCGTTGTCTTCATTAGATCAAAATATCTAGGCAGACATGTACTCGAAAAATAGAAAATAATAGAAAAACAATTTGTCTCCGTGGGGAGCCGAACCATAGACCATTTTTAACGTTTTTTTAACCCCAGGAGCGCGCAGCAAAAATGAACCTTGGTTTTCTTTTAATCGTATGTGTAGCTACAATATGCAAAAAACCGTTTTCCAAACGCGCACCACGTCCTGAGGACCTCCCTTGAGAGAGCTCGAATCGGATCTTGTTCTTCTTCGGAGAGTTCTACCACGGCGAAGCATAAGTACAGGTTAATGGGGATTAGAGATAAAATCGGATCGCAGATTTGGAGCCAAACTTGGGCTTTCTATGGTGTCCACATACTTTCGGTACAAACAAGGAAATTCTATTCAAAAATATTTCATGAGTGAAGCTTAGTTATCGCTCGAGTGCCCAGTTATAGGGTTATCGGCCACGAGGAATCGATTGAGGAAGGATCCAGATCAAGAAGTCTTTTGGTTACATTTTAAAACTAGATTTTGAGGTGTCCACATACTTCTGTTACGCACTGTAAATGATTTATCACGTCTATTTGTTTGTTTGTTTGTCTGCCCGGTAATTCGGTTCTACCAGAAGAACATCGGAAATGGGGGGAGGCCTTCTTGAGGCGGACGATGTTTCCCGCAAACGTCGATGACGGTCCCTGTGAGAGTTTACGGATTGTAAAAAAGTCCATGGCGAAGATAAGCATCATCGAGAGTCCCTCATACCTGCGGTGTCGCCTACCGTGGGCGGGGCGTGCTCTCAAACATGGGGGACTCATTTCAAAAATTGAACTGGATTATGATCCAGTTTTTCAAAAATCATTAAGAAGTGAGAGGCACACCTATTTTGGATGGAGCTTGCAGCGAGGTGGGCGGAGCCGACCTAAAAATGTGTAAGAAGGTTCCGGAGCACTCCAGAAACCGGGAAAAAGTGTTAGGTTGGCCCATAATTGATGGACGTTTTTTTGTAACACAAGTTTTTATATGGAAAATGACAATTGTTCCCAATATGTTCTACACTGTTTGATAGATAATTTTCCGCACTATAAGGTAGTATATAAGGTGATTGCCCTCTTACTATTTCTCGATTGTGTCGATTTTTATTCCATTGAAAGGGAATCGGGTCGACCCAAAAGTGAGTTTTCGACAACTACTTTTTGAATTTATCTCGGCTCTCAATCTACAGAAGAAGCTCAAACCTTGTGGTATATATGACCAAAGAAAGATGCGTCTTATGACAGCTTGAAGTTGGTTCAAGCGATCAAGAGGTGGGAATTCGGACCTTGTAAAAGAGCATCGCGTGGGGGGCCCTCTTGGGGAGGGACTGCCTGCAGAACCTACCCACTTATTTTCGAACGTCTAACATCAACTGAGGGTGGTGGTTGATAATGATAAGGAAGCATTCTATGACCTCTAACGATCCCTCAATCTTTGGCATGATTCTCAGTTAATAAGGTAATTCTGTAAGCTCAGTTGGACAGAATAGGGCATTAGGTTCGATGCTTGTCTGTGAGGTCGAAACTGAAATCTTCGAATCACTAAAGTATTATTAGCATTCCTAAGAGACATAGCCTTTCAGCCATATACTTAGCAGCTGGGCCCATGCGGTTTTAGCTTTTTAATTAGAGGTATAAAAGAGAGGCTGTCGAAAATGCTCAATTTCGTCGACCTGACACTCCAGTTTGAGCACTTAAATATTAGTGGAAAGAGAAACTTGAAGAAAACTAAGAAGACTATCGTGTAGGGCAAGGAATTCTCTGCAAAATGGTATAAAACTCAATGGCAAAACTTTTCTTCTTCGAGTGGGAAAAAAACGCCATTACTTATGGCCGACCCAATAGATTAATGTCAGCGATGGGTCAACGCTTGAGAAGAGTGGGAAGCACCCGTTAAGGTATAGCGGCGGGTGAGCAGGGTCAAAGAAAAAAAAACTGAACGTTTCCAGAACACCCCAGGCAACGGCAAAAGTTGAGTGTAATTGGCGTCATGTGGAGGTATGCTTTCTTGCGATCCTGCCCGTCTACAAAGCGATATTGTTCGGAATGCATGCTGTTCGAGGGTATCCTTCATGCACTAATGCACCCAGATAAACGGTACCCAACTATTGCAACCTCACAGTGTCAAAGAGAACTCTTGCTGAGACTTGAAGAGTCAGATTCTGCATATATCCCCTAATATTACGCCCATTCTTGATTCCGACGTTATTCAGTACCAAATATGGTACCACCAAATTCTTTTGCCGTGTTCGTTGGGGGAATGCAGAGCTATAAGGAGGCCGTCTTGCGCTGACTCTCAAAACAATTGTCAGATTCGTTATCAGAACCTTCGATCCCCTATGTCAGTAGAAATGTTTGACATTTCGGTGTTCTGATACTTGAGAAGTGACGAACCAACGAGTTTAATTTTTTTAATTAAAAGCTTTTCCCTGTTACGTGAAGCGTTCTATTTTTAGAGAGAGATAGAGATAAGTGATAACTAAAAATTTTGGCAAAAATCAACAAAACGAGCAAAGCACAGTCGTCCAAGAAAAGTCAGTGGGGCAGCGAATTCTTCGTTGAAGTAATGGTCTCTCACTACATCCGGATCCGGAAAGGTTAAAGGAAGTATTCTTGCTGAAATGTCGTCTAAGGTGGTATTTCAGCGCCCTGTATACAATTTTGTCTCTTATTCTCTTTAGCGCCAACGCCATTTGGCGCCACTATGACTCCTATTACTTTAAATTGCTTTTATTCCGAGGCATACTCTTTTGCAGACATTTAGGATCCCAAGAAAACCAAATCTCAGATGAAGCAAAACAGTGCAACTAAGCAAAGCAGCGCAAAGTTGGGTGAGTCGTAAAGCAGACCCAGGCCCAATGCACAGCGAAAGTGAACCTCATTTTGCTAATCTAGGTGAGAGTCCCTACAAAATGCAGAAATCGTATCCAGAAGCGGGGAACGCCTGGAACGACTTCCCATGAGTCCTCTGGAACAAAACGAAGTCAGGAGTGAAAGAATTGACACGAGCGGCTGAAGTATCCCAAGAGTTCTAAATTACAGAACGCACATTGTTGTCCCTTTTCGCTAGGGGGCGCATAAAATTGACCTTAACCAAGGTTTGAAGAACCGTAGGGTTACTTTCAACATTTTCCGCCGAGATATCCACTTTTCTGCTTCTCTAGCGGTGATCCCAGCTCTGCTTGCGTCAGCATCGCCATCAAATTCACTACCATTAGTGAAGCCAATGTAAGATGGCAGCTTTTTTTTGGGGGGGGGGGCAGCTGTAGGAGGAAATAGAACAAGTCTGGCCGGAAAACTGCCCTTCAGTTCAGAATCAGAGGATTAAAAAAACTTTTTATCGCTACCTCCACTAAGCATCGCTTGGGGCAACTCCCCATCAAGAACTTTGATCTCGCCAAAATAAGGAGTTGGATGGTTGTCAGATCCAAGAGGGATTGTATTTCTTCCGTCGGTGAAAAAGACTGCCTTACGATAGTGAAAGTGGCGGTAAGAAAACTCGATACTCGTTTCCGGTTCTCCTTATTAATCAGAATTTTTCGGTCGAACTTCCATTTGTCACCACATCCAATGTTCCTCCAACAGCCCCCCCCCCCCAGTGGTAGTGAACTGCCATCCCGACGCAAGCAGGGCTGAGATCGCCTACAGAAGTGCGGAAAATGCGCTTATCTTGACCAACAAATCTCTGAAGAATTCTTTGCCTCTGCAAAAATGAGAATTAATCTTATGTGAAGCCTGATGAAAACGGACGACAGCGCATGCTACGGAACTTTCAAAACTTTTGAAATGGTTGAACCCTCCATGTCGGCTCTTCTCCTATTCATGACGTTTTGCTTTGTTTCAAAAGGCTCGATTTCTTTCTACACCACTAGGAAAAACTGTAATTTGCCTTTCCACCTAGAGATAATGGCGACATATTTCAAGAAAAGAACATTGCTATGGTTCTGCAAACCCGAGAGGTGGTCCTCGTCGCGGAAAGACTAAATTTCACAGGTCGCATTCTACCAGAAATGCTGCAACTTTTTTCGCAAAATTGAAAGACAAAGAATACCGAAATTTGAAATGGATTATTCTGCTGTGAAAAAGTCACACATGGAGAGCCGTTTGTATTGGTGGAGAATTTTCTGCTTTATGTGGTAGTATGTTGGTTTGTTTACCGAGTCGCGTTCGACGAAAGAGAGCTTTCTGAAACCACCCTTTTGGGTTTGAGTGAGGTGCTAAAGTCACTGGTGCTGCTCGAAAGTCTCCTTGTCATCCCTTCTAAAACCTCAAGATGTCAAATTTTTTTTCTCTGTCAAAAGGAGGCTGTTAGATGAGAGCTTTCATTAGACTTGTGAGGTACCCATTCGAGCGCCTTCACGTCTCCAGCGCTTCCTGTTTCGTGTCGAGAACTTGCCAGAACGACCTAGTAATGAGAATGGTTAAGCCACCGGACGTCCCACCAAAATACGGAGCGTACCTCACGTTTATCATGCTAAAGTGTTTGTTAGAAGGAAGACTTCATTGGAAATGGATGACTTTTCGACAGGATCGTCGTCCTCAGAGGCCTGAACATAGCTCATAGTTTAGACTTTGCACCCCCTAGGCCGCCAAACGCATCGACGTCCTAGCGTTTCTGACGGGATATAAGGAGAACTACCGAAAAACCCGAAGTTCGCCACCACTGAGCGGAACTCGCTGTCAGTTGTAGTTAGTAATGAAACATGTTGTGCTGTCCTTATACAGTAATTGTAACGAGGAACTGCACGGCTCACGTTTCTTACTCCTTCCTCGAGTCTTTTTCTTGCCCTTACTGTAGCTCGCATTCTGATACAAACGGCAAGAAGTTCATTTGTAATGGCCAGACACTCGTTTCAGTTGTTCATTATCGATTTTCTTGCAAAAATTCGGAATGACCTTAACGCTCCCAATGACTCTAAAGCTTTACTGGATGAGATTTCGGTCTCATAAATATCTCGCCAAAATAGTGCACTTCACATCAAAGTCATTCCCGTTGTGCTCATCAAACTTATGCTTGCCAAGTGAAGTAGTTATACTACCATGTCTTTTCCCCAGTAGGTGTTTCTTGGGCATAGCTAGCATCGTCTCTGCTTCACCGATATACGTGCTGTTAAAAGTCCTGCATTCGAGTTGATAAATTACTCCAACCTTTTAAAAATCCTTTTAACCTTTTAAAAAATGGGCAAATAACACAGTCAGGTGTCAAACACTGCCTGTACTGTCTGTTGCAAACCAGCTGACGTTTGATGTTGCTTGCGGGAATATTCACGAGAACGACATCATCCTGCAGCTCTGCTCCCACAGTGGAGTGGTATACTACAGCTCTGACTCAATTGGAACTACACGAAGGCATAGGGGTAGTTTTCCTTGACGTGTATGTCGCTGACCTGTTTTCGGTCTTCTGCGATATGCTTGCACCGCATAGCCGTTTTCGTGAGCTATCTCCAAAGCTAGACGTTCTTGTTTCTGTCGTTCTTCTTCGCCAGTGCTCATCCTGGTTGCTGTCGTGAGCATATTGTTGACGATTGCTCGTTTTACTGCAGCAGGATGTGACGACGTGGATTATTGTAGGACTTACAGCTAGGTTTTCGGTACCATTTTATGCTAGCAGTGCCATTGCCAGCTTCACCAGCTGTTTACATATATGGCCAACCATTTTCAGGCTCTTCTCGAGTAAGCTTTAGGTATTGCGACTGTTCATTCGGTAATCGGAACCTGTCATTTATTCCATGTTACATGGTTGTGGTAATCTTACAACGAAGCAGTCATCAATATATCTGCAGTACATCCAAGGAGAGCGACTCAGTACCACTTGAGTCCTGCTCATAAAGCACCGCAAGTACAGGTTCTATTCGCTGGCCCATTGTCGATTCCCTGATTCGAGAGTAATATCGTAGCAGTAATAAAAGGAACACTGACTATTGAAATATGTTGCACGTGAGCATTCTTAATCAGAATCATGATGTGCAGAAGCACGTCTATCGAACATTTCAGATAGAGCCTGTGACGCTTGTTCGTCTTGGACGTTTGTATAAAGTGAAGTGACGTGAAATGACTCATCACGCAACTTATTTATAATTTTGAAATGTATAATTTTGGAGGAGTTGGTTCGTGTTGGTCACCGTCGCCTCGCCATCGCGCCTCCTGTCTCTTCTTGCTGACGTCCTTGAGCGGCTTTTGCAGCAGTCACAGCTTTCTTTGCTTTGGCTGCCTGGTATTTTTGCCAGTTGTCGACTGACTTGTCACCAAAGAACAAGTTATTGCGCCTCTTCTTACGAACCTTCAGTCTGACGCCGTCAGCCCACAACCGTGCCTACTTGTCAATTCTACGCCTTCCAGGCTTCGTTGTGCCGAGTTTGGAGCGAAACTTGAACTATCGTTTTAGCAGCATTTTCCAGGTTTCATCGACAGTTGTGACGCTTTGTAACCGAATAAGAAAGATCACAGCTGCCTCCTTTCCCACCATTTGATTCTCTCCGGACCGCTACGCTCGACCTTTTTCGAGCTGGGCGGTGTGAAGCGTACAAATCAACGGGCGATGCTGCGTGGCAACCGTCACATACGGCACGACCTTCGCCTCTGTGACGAGCCCTTGGTCGCAAAACGAGCCCTTGGTCAAACAATCTGACAAAGTCAATCTGTGTTCTAGTCCCACCACTGTAGAAGCTGATGAGGTGGGAGTCTCGTTTGCGAAACTTCGTATTCACGATGACCAGGTTATGGGCCTCTGCATAGTCGAGAATTCTTTCACCATCGGCGTTACGTGACCCATAACCGAAACCACCATGACAACTGTAGCCGTCTTTCGTAGCGCCTACGTGCCCATTTAGGTCACCAGCAACAATTACGACGTCTTCTGACGGTATCTCAGCTGTCTTCTCCTCAAGCAAGGACCAGAACTCGTCCTTGGATCGCTCGCTACACCCTGTTTGTGGAGCATACGCGGAGAAGAAATGGTACAAGCGTTGCTCGATAGCGACTACGATCTTCATCAAGCGGTCATCAAAGCGTTCCACGCTTGCTATCGAGTCACGGAAACGTCCAGAGACGATTGTGGCCACGCCGTCGGTAACTCTTGGCTTACCACAGACTAG